TTCACAGCCAGATGTTTTAGGGGCTCCTCTTCACAGCACTTGTACTCTGGGCTGGAGAGTCTGGTATGGAGCTGGGATCCTTTGCTCTTCAGGGAGGACCTCTACAGCTGAGATAACCCCCTGATTCTCAACCACCACACATGGATGTGGGGCCAGTTTGTTTTGCATCTCTTCCCCTTCTACCAGTCTTGACTTGGCTTCTTCTTTATATCCTTAGTTATAGGACTTCTATTCAGCTAGTCTTCAAGTAGTTCTCTGGGTTGATTGTTCTATAATTTAGTTGTAATTTTAATGTTGTCATGGGAGGAGGCAAACACAGTGTCTACCTACTCCACCATCTTGACCGGAACCTCCCTTTTATCTTTACCCTTGAGTAGATTCTCAAGCCTAAGTTAGTCACAGATGTTGAGAGACAGTTCTCTATGGTATCGTGCATTTCTATAGATCTTATAAGCAGAGATGCAGACTTCTTTTTGTTCTGGACTACTTCAAGGATGTTTAGGTAGCAATCAGCTTTGGAAGACAGAGAGTCTCTTCCTCTGGAACAAATTACAGGTTTGCTCATAGTCTTGGAAGATAGAGGTGGTATCTCCTTCCAGAGCAAGAGACAGACATGCTTACTGTTTGGTCTAATAAAGGTAATGTTTCCTTCTGAAGCAAAAGGCAAGAATGCTTATTGCCCATCATAAAAGATTTGGGTTCCTTAAGCTCAGGTTTCCTCTCCTGTAATGTAGCCCACTGCATGTGCAGGAGTTACCTGGATATTGTTGTCACCTGTGGGAATTTAGGCTTAGGAGACTGGTGCAAAAAATACTGATATTCTAGCTACTGGTATTGCTGTGAGTAATAAACTGCCCTTTACTTCTAACCAAAGTATCTTGTGTCTTCTGCTAGACGCCATGAATCTGTGGCAGGCTAACTCATTAGCTTGTAAGTAGGGTAAAATCTCAAACTGTAAACAATTCTTGAAAACAGGTTTTAGCAGTGTTTGGGTAAGTTGGCTGGTATGGTGTGGTATGGTTAGCATACTCATCTAGAAAGGTAATCCTTTTACTTCTAGTGGCTAACCACCATTTTGGGTATACATTGGAACCTGGGTCTGTATTCTCAAGAGAAGAAATGAATGGACATCACAGAGTCAGAAGTAAAAGATGGGGTGAGATCCATAACATTTGATCCAGAGCATTGGCTACAACTGTGAAGCCTCTTATAACTTTCACTTCGTGTATCTGTGTCGGGGGGCATTGGGTGAAGGTAGACAGAGGCTATGGAAGAAGAAGGAGGGTGAAGAGGTTGGTAGAGGTTGGTAGAAGATTCCACAAAGCATCAAAGCAGCATGAAGTCATTCATGTTTAAAGGAGCTATAAATCATTGTATTGGCACTTATCATATTGAAGTGTGTTAGCTTATTTTTTTGAGCCACGAGTATACATTTTTGTGAGCACTCTTTCTTGGGGTCTTAGTGCCTTGTTTAGTGTGCTCACATTGAGTGCTAGTAGGTGAAAGTGAGTGCGCTTGTTCTGGGAAAATACATGATGACAGTGTCCGGGGCATTAGGTTTCACTCTGTTTATGTCCCCTTTCTCTCTCATCCAAGTCTTTGTGGTTTGTTAAAGTACTTTCTTAGTACCACTTAGGCAACTCTAATAACATGTAAAACTAGTCAAATAACTTTTGACCTCAGAAGTCTCAGCTCCCTCTGGCACTCTCAGAGTTGGAACATACTAATGCTGCCTCCAAGAACCAGCCCTTTGCCCAGGTAAGTGTCGTGGGAAAGCATTCGGGGCTGTTGGCAGAAACGTGCTATGACTTCTTCTTTGTTAGCCACACGATGAAACAATTGTATTTTATTTCACACCACAGGGACTTTTATCCAACGTCGTCGGATTTCTCTACCACCTCCTGATGATGATCAGTTTTATACTGTGTATCATTTCAATATCAACATAGACATTGTCTTTTATGGCTGGGCATTCAAGATTTATGACTGTGATGTATTCACAAAAAACTTTTTGAAGAAAATAGGAATCAAATTAAATCCCCCGGGAGAGTGTCCAGAAGATCCCTACATGAAGACATGGAGACAGGTAAGAAGTTGATATGTCCATGAGTTCTTGTCTTCAGAATGAGAATCACTTCAGAGAGTTAATAGATGGTATTGGTACTTCTGATGCAGATATGAAAGAACTTTTGGGGTCATAGTCACTGGAGTTGCCCTCTCCTCCTTTGGGCTGGAGGGAAGGCTGGGTGTTGGCCTTAGTGTGGGAAAGTCTCACTTACTGCCCCCACCCCCACTTCTCTCCATGGAGAGTTTCTCTTCCAGGCATAGGAGTCTTTAGTGAGCTGCCCACATGGGACAATTTCTAAGAGCTCGTGATTGGCTTTGTGGTCACTGATAGTATAAGAGTTGGGCCCACACTTACTTAGCTTGTCTTTTCCCATTTAGTTGCCGAACTCTGTGAAAATCTTGGCTTCTGTACTACTCATTTACTGAACTGAGCCCTGGATTCAGCTTTTACCCATTTCCTTCTTCCACGAGACTCCCAGCTCCCCTATGGTGACATCAGATGCAGAGATGTTCTGGAGGAATGACAAAGGCCATGATTCTGATATATCCCCATTATGAAAGATTGATTGTCTTCAAAGTCTGACCCAAGTTAGTGTAGGGAGGAAAGAATCAGTGTTAGTATTATTGTTATCTTTCTAAAGTTTTTAAAATTATCCCTTGGCCCAAATTTTATGTTTTTTTTTCCTTCAGCTTTATTGAAATATAATAGACAACTAGTTGCTCATATTTACATTGTACAATTCAATGATTTTTTTCAATTATAGTTGGCATACAATAATGTATTAGTTTCAGTTGTACAGCATAGTGATTAGAGATCTATATAACTCACAAAGTGGTCACCCCACTAAATTTAGTACCCCTCTTCCCTCTTACATATTTTTTACATTGTTGACTATTTTTCTTATGCTATACTTTATATATCCATGTCTATTTTGTAACTATCCATTTGTATTTCTTAACCCCTTTGCCCTTTTTTGCCATTCCCCCAACTCCCCTCCTATATAGTAGCCCTCAAAATATTCTCTGTATCTATGAGTTTGTTTCTGTTCCAAATTTTATGTTTTATAGAAGGATCTGAACACCCAAAAGGGCAAGTATCATGTGGAATGTCATATAACTAACCAATCTTCTTCCTGGGACTTGAACTCAAATCTCTTGCTTCTTACCCTGATTTTTATTATTGTCATTTGTTTTCCTTTTCTCTTTTAATTGAAGTATGATGATACATAGTAAAATACACAGAAATTAAGTATACAGTTGGATGAGTATTAACAGATGTGTACACCCATGTAATCCACATCCAAGTCAATATATAGAACATTTTGATCCTCATCCCTCCAGAAAGTTTCCTTATGCTTTTTTTCCATTTTATGAATATTCACTGTTCTCATTTCTGTCCCTATAGATAAATTTAATCTCATTTTTATTGTTTCTAAAACTTGTAATTTATTTTCTTGCATAAAGATAACATAAAATTTAGAATAAAATTCTCCTTTGATTCTTCTTTGATCTTTTGTTAAAAGCTGCATGTAGGGTCATTCATCTATTCCTGCCTCCTAGCCCCAGAAGAATTATTCTTTAATGTTGTAGGCATACGGTCCTCCCGAGAAATATATATTGTTGATCCTGGAATATCTAAGGTGAAATCCTTGTGGCATTATACATGTGTGTATTGGTGTGCAAGAAGATTTATGGTTTGAATTCTTTTTTATTTTTTCCAAATGCTTTAAATCAAAGAGTCTAGATAAATGCAGTCTTTAAAACCAACAGAGAAAACCTAAAAGAAATGGATCCATATGAATAACCAGCCTTTGCACATGGCTGCACTCATTCACTAACAGTTGGTATTATATTATGGTGATTGTGAATAATGATGCATTATGTGCAATACATAGAGCACTGTGCAATTTCATAGGTTTATAAAGAAAAAAAATAATTTGTGCCAGGAATTGAGAATAAATACCAAGAACAGCCAAGAAATGTTTTAAATAATATCCTTTTAGATTGGGAGATTCATTTTAGCATTTATTCCCTCAGGGAGAAAGCTCTTCAATAAATATAGAAATCTGTGGAAAATTAGGAGTTTAATAAGAGGCTTTTATATTGAGTTTAGTGCTTTTACTTCTCTAGTGTTTGCTGTCTTGAAATGCAAAGTTAAAATTAAACAATTTAACAAAAACTGAAAAGAGCCCCAATGGTAAATGGTATGTGATCAGTAATGCATTTATTAGAGACCTTATAATGCCAAAGAAATATTTTTCAATTGATGAAAGTAGAGGTCCCATAATTTCATTTAAATATCAAGGATAAGACTGAAGAGCCTCTGGAAGGCCATCATATAGCCTCCTGTCTTGGGGTAAGCCTGTACCTAGACTGCCCTGGGCAGATACAAAATTCTGAGAATTTACAATCAGATTACATAACACAATGTAGGACTACATCTCCCTTACCACCAAACAGTTTCTTATATAACTATCCTATTTGGCTACATCAGATATAATGTGGGCAGTTTTGCTCCAGGACAGGGCTGAGAACATGCAAATAGAGAAGAGTTGCACCAAGAAGACTATGTAGCTAGTGATTCCTAGGTTGAGGGACAGAGCACAGGCAGTGGTTCTGTGCCGATTGGGGAGTTCTCTATTTGTTCTGCTTCTGTTTCTGTGGCCTTTCAGGTTCTTGATATCTAAAGTTCTTGAGCAAAATAAAAACATGAATATATTTCTTTCCTTTTACCTCCACAGAAATCTTTGAGTGAATAAGAAAGATATATAGATAGGAATTTTCAGTGAAAAGACAAACACTTTTTTTGACTGAGATATAATTAACATAGACTGAGATGTACAAATCTTAAGTGTACAGATAAAGTTTTGAAAAATATGTACAATTTAGTAAGCAACATGAAAATCAAGATACAGAATATTTTCATCATCCAAGAAAGTCCCTTTGTGCCCCTTTCTGGTCAATCTCTTACCAAGGGGCAATTGCTGTTCTAGTTTCTGTCATCATACATTAGTTTTGTCTTTTCTTAAACATGAATTGTAAGTCTTTGAGAAAAGTCAGTTTTCAAAAACATTTCAGAAATATATTTTAGTGCATTAAAATAATATTTAATATGAAAAACTTCCCAACGATTTAATTTTTAAGGTTAAAATTGATTATATGTGCATGTACATGAATGTTGTTAGTTGAAATTTAAAAAAATATCACAGAATAGCCTATGGAAAAGGTATGTTTATGTTCTTTGACTGCTTGCATCTCAGAAGTGCTTACACCCAGACCACAACTATTACTGATCTTTTCTCTATTTTCAGAAGCTAGACTGCATACGGCCCTTACGTCCTTATGAGTCCTTCGACACCCTGAAACAGTTTCTCGAGTATGATAGGAAGGTTTTGCGTTTCTTCTGTCTGTGGGATGACTCAGCCTCATTGTTCGGGGACCGCAGAGAACTCATCTTGCTTTACTTTCTGTCTGATGATACTATTGAAATCAAAGAATTGCTACCACACAACACAGGCCGGGATGCTATGCCATTCTTCCTCCGGAGGAGAAAGCTGCCAAAGGTGAGCAGTAGACACAGAACCATTTTCTCAGTTTGCTTGTTGTCTGAAAGACTCTAGTCACTCACTAGAATGTCATGTGTTATGACTATGTGATGACAGTTACCATATATTATTCCAAGTGTTTAGAAAGTTTTCATGTTGTTCCTTGTATTAATATACATCTTTGAAAGTAATAAAGAAGGTATGACGAATTGAGGTTGGAATATTCTGGGTTTAAGGCAAGTAAAGGGAAAAAGGTAGATGCAAGAGAAAGTACCTATTTATTATTGAGTTCACAATCAGTCTTATGAACATAAATGAGTAACAAAAGAATTGGATGGAGCACTGGCCTCTGGCCTCTGCAGCCTACTGAGGAGATCCCATGGCGTTGTTCTGGGTTGTGAATGTACACACACAAACATGTATATACATGTATATGCACAGTAGTGACTCTTGTGAGAGTAGCCACTGGTCACCAACTAGCCACCTTTTCATTTCATTTACTATTAAAAAATAGTTGTCAGACTGATTTCTATGCATATTTATGGCCAACTGAGAGCTAACTTAACTTGAGTACAACCAGAAACATCACAGAAACAGAATACCTGCGTTAGAATTGTGGTTCTGCACTTAATAGTTGTGTCATCTTTGGCAAGTCACTTAACCTGAGTGTATTTCCTTATCTCTAAAATGCAGTTAAGGAGGCCTCCATCCTGAGGTAACTGTAAAGATCAAATGAGATAACACAGCACAAAACATTATCTAAGGACCTATAAACACCTATAAGGACACACAAAAACATAAAGGCTTTTTCACAGTTCTCTGTAATGTTTTATTTCTTATTTAGATAAAGTATTTTTTAACTTAATTCTTAGTGCTGTGGAAGAGGTTTCTGTAACACTCATTTCTAATGCAAACAACTGCTGGTTATGTGGTCTACACAGGAGGCTCTCCCAGATTCTCTGAGCCCATTGCCGGAAGCCCTGCTGTATTGCTGGGAGGGGTACCGGTGGGGGAGGTAGGCAGGATTTGTCCCAGAGGGAGCTCTAGGGTATGCATAGCAGGTGGCCAGTAGGTACTAGGGAAGCCTGTTTTTAGAATGGCTTTGAAAAATAGGCTGAATATAAAATAATAATGATACATCTGACATTCGCAATGTGCCTTGCCATCAGTTGCTTCATTTATTCATTCATTCAACATGTATTTATTAAATGTCGACTGTATGTCAGCTCTGGGGTTACAGTGGAAAAGAAAATGGATTAAGTCCTGCTTCATGGAGTTTAGATCCTCATGGGGGAGAGATACAGTAATTGTGGGTATTTCTATGACACTCTCAACATCCTTTGAGGAAGCAAAGAATAAGTACTGTTGTTACTATTGATGACAAAACTGAAGTTCTGGAAAAATACTTGGCCCCAAGGCCTATAGCTAGTAAGTAGTGAAGAGAGAGTTTGTGTCCAAATGTCCTGTTTTTCTATGTTACATGGCTTACTTATACCTCACACATCATAAATTCACATGTTTGAATTCAGATTTCTCATCTGTATGCGATAAACTGATCACTGTCAATCATAAGTTAGTTAAGGTATTTCTTGCAGCTCACACAACTGCTTGGACCACCTCCAGTGCATATGGAACTGAGGAGCACCCTGACTTTCTCCAGGCCATAGTTTCTGTTAGAGGCTGACCACACTCTGTTGTTCTTGCCACCTCACCACGCTGCTTTTCTCAGCCAGCAAGTGCCTCCTAAGCTCAAGGTTAGGCAGGGTGCTAAGCGGAGTAAAGAAAAAGAAGGCAAGGCATAGTTTCTTCCTCAGGGTAGTTTGTAGTTGAGTGGAGAGAAAAGATGACTGCTGATGAAGCAATTAGAGAACCACAAAAAGTAGTTTAATCCTCTGGTAGGTGCTATGGAGCTTTGGATCAG